ATACGTTTTAGTGACGCAATAATTGTGTCACCTTTTTGAGTCACTAAATAGTGACGCAATTGTATCACCAAAAAGTGACGCTAAAAGGTGACGCAATTGCGTCACTATTTAGTGACGCAAAAATTGATTCATTATTGCGTCACCCTTTGGTGACGCTTGGTGACGAAATCTGAATTGGTGACGGTATGAATGGTGACGCTTTTGGTTGCGTCACTATTGCGTCACCTTTTGAAAAGGGTGACGCAAAAATATAAAAGGGTGACGCAACTTTTGCGTCACCCTTTTGCTGTTTTCTAGTAGTGGATCGAGTATCTAACGGATACACCGTTCAGAATAAAACCACAACTCTTTCACGTTTTCTTCAAGCTTTAGTGCGCGATGCAAAAAGACAGACATCATAACCATTTTTAATGTGTCTTCACATTGAAGATGGAAAATATATCGAAACTGTGACTCTTTGTTGAAATATATCCATTCTTCGTTTGTTAGAGCCTTTTTAAGAGAACGGATGGTTTCAAATGGATAACACTTTGTTGTGATCTTGGGAGCATGATGAATGTCGTTAAAATCATATACAAAAGAAACCTGCAAAAAGGAAATTAACATTTGTTATCACTTTTGTGTCAATAGTAACCATGTTTATCAAACTCATCAAACTTGTCAAACTCGTCATACCATTCAGGTGCGATGAATGTGACTAGTCTGACTAAATTAACATCTTGTGCAGTTTGACGAGTGTGACTGGTTGTGACCTGTTTACCAGTTTGGTCAGACCAGTCTAACTCGTTATACCCTTCAAGTGTGACCATTGTGACTAGTACGACCATTTTGTCTCACCATGATAACTTCAATATGACTCGGCTTTGTGAAAAATCTTATTTCCCACTTTCTAACCGAAACCCTAATTTTTCTTGACTATATAACTCTACTGATATGACATAATATGACTCATTTGGACACTATAACCGTGATTCGAGTTCTATATTACTCGACATTGAGCAAAACAATTTTTCTCATTTTTTTTACCAAAATCCGTATTTTTCTAATCCATACTACACAAAAATGATCCATTTTAGTCGGTTTTGTTTTCGTTTATTGTTTACCCAAACACATAGACACGAAATTCTAAGAAAAACTTCTCACTTTCTCGGTGAGTTCAAGCGCAAAACATACCCGGATATCTTCGTAAATAGGAGTCGAAGACGAAGAAGGAGAAGAAACCATCTGAAGTGAGAAGATACTGCAAAAAAAAATCACAACAAAAATCGCCAAAGAAGAGAAAAATCGCCAAAAAAGAGAGAAGATATAGTTATAGAGAAATTGCAGAAACGAAGAGACAGGGGAAGAAGAAAACTGCTCAAAATTTGATTTTTTTATGTTTTTTTTTAAATTCAAAATGCTGCCACGTGTCTTTTTTATTTATATAATTTTGTCACTTCTTTAATATTTGTTTTTTTTATTCTGGCATTAACACGTGTCCTTTTTATTAAGGGTAAAAGTGTTTTTTTACCCTTTAAGAGTTTTTTTTTTGAAACCCTAGTTTTAAAGGGTATAGGCTGAAGTATTTGCACACATTTAAAGGTATTCTTGTAATAACGCCTATTAATTCACTAATATTTAAATAAAATTTATTATTATATAAAAATTAAAAATTTTGAGACCCCTGGAGGGGACGATTGGGTGTTCTGGATGTGGATCTGATGGCTTCTATTTCTTTTTTAACAACGGGCCCATTAAAAAAGAAATGTTCGGCCCATTACAAAACATTGTAACGATTAATCTTATTAAGCCCAATTTTAGAATATTTTATTGATTAAAAACAAAAATAGGGTTTCTGAAAAACCGCTCTCGTGTCTCTGTGTACTTCTCCTCAGCCGCTTAGATAGTTAGATTTTATGACGTCATATTTATTTGTTTTTTAAAAATCTCCTACTCATCTGAGTTTCGATACTCTTCTGTCAGAATCTCAGATTCGACAATCTCAGGTGAAGCTCTCAATGATTTAGTTTTCTTTGGCGGATCCCTAATCTCAATTTTAAAATAATTTATTCATTAAAATCAAGTTCTTCTAAACATACAAAATAGGGTTTCTGAATCATTGGCCAAAAAAAAAAAAAATAGGATCCTTGCGGTAATCTGACGAGAGCCGACGGAGACAGCAAGTCGTCCAATCGTAAGAACAAGGTGCGTTCCCATTCTGATAAACCAATTATTATTATTATTTGATTTATAGTTTATATCTTTAAAATTTGTTTTTTTGGGGTAAGATGTTACAACTTCTGATGTGAATCTGGTTATTATTATTATTATTTGATTTACAGTTCATATCTTTAAAATTTTAATGTTTAGTCTAACCTAAATAATTTTATAGATGGTAATACTTATGGGTGGTGTTTTCAAAAGTTTATATTAACATAACGATTTTTAAAATATGAGCTATGATGAAAATGGTTTTCTTATAGGTATATATATATTATATCGTACGATTTCTTAATGCTTAGTCCTTGAAAAAATCTAAATCTATAGAATAGTATGAAAACTTTATATATCAAGAGACCAACAATACAAAATTATTACTATTATCATTATTATTTGATTTATAGTGAAATGCAAAAAAATATACTAATTTATTGGGGGGGGGGGAACTCAAATATCTTTTCGTAATTTGTGTTTGTAATCAAATATATTGAGAATAATATATGTATATATATATATGTTTATGTATATACTATAGATATAAGATGACTACAAATAATTATAATATATATTTTAAACAATAAAATTTGAAAAACATATCTCAAAATTTATCTTTTTAAATCTTTTTTAAAATTATGAGCTATGATAAAAATGGTTCTTTATAGATATGTACAGTGTAATATTATTTTTAAAATAATGTGTATTTTTAAATTTTTTAACTTACTAAAACTCGGAAAACTTTCTCGAGTCAAAGTCTTGGACACAAAGTGCTCATCGAATCTCATTTTGTGTAAACCTTTTTTTAAAACACAATGGTGGGTCCCACATTTAATTGTGGTTTATTACAATTGACAATGATAGTGGAGCCTGAGAGGCACATGCATGGTGCAGGGGTAATAATGGGAATAGGCTTGTTTGGTTGGGTATAAAGCTCTACGCCTTCCCTATATGGGATCCACTTGTTCCCTCTTCCAAACACGCCTTCATGCTCGATTTTCTTCTTAACCCACAGTTTATCTACCCCTCCCCCTCCTCCACATATTATTATTATTATTACTACAATTATTATTATTTCTTTTATAATCGTACAATTTCGTAGTGCTTAGTATTTGAAAAATTCTAAATCTATACAACATTAAGATAAATTTTTAATAAACTAGAGATCAACTGAATACAAGATTATTATTATTATTATTATTATTATTATTATTATTATTATTATTATTATTTATAGTGAAATGCAAAAAAATATACTAATTTTTTGGAAAAAACTCGAGGGTTTTTTTCGTAATTTAGCCCTTGTGTACTTCTGTAACCCTTGTACTCCCAATCTCAAGTCTTCGCCGCTTAGGTAGTTAGATTCTGTGATGTTATATTTATCAAAATATATTTAGAATATTCTTAGTTATTAAAATGTTATATTTCAAAACATTGATTTTTTGTAACTAACACCCCTAACAGCCAAAAACATTATTTCATATATAAAAATCACATTGCAATAAAACCAAACATAGTTTATATCTTTAAAATTTTATACCATCAAAACCTCGATATTTATATACATATTTATTTTCTCTTCTTTTTTCGGGTATTGAAACTACCATTCATATATGTACATTGTATAAGATAAAATAAATGTCTCACAAGATACAAGAGGTAGAGGTTGGGTTAAATGAAATGCTTTTTAATCTACAATAAGCTTTGAAATTGGGCCCGTTATGTTTTTGGGCCGTTCAAGTAAGATGGGCCCATAAGCTTGAAATGGGCCCATTATGTTTTTGCACTTTGACCTTATTACGAGGCCCATCTCGACTTCCTAATTAGTTCTCTCCTTCCCACGTGACACCTTGTCGTCTCCACGTGCTTGTCTTCTTTGCCATCTGACTCCGTTTCTCGTTCGAAGGATGATGAGCAGACTCCATTGACAGATCACTCAAAACAACCTTTTAACTAAAGAAACCAAAATTATAACAAGAGATAAAGATTATTTTAATATAAGAATATTCTAAATATCTTTTGATAAATTATTCTCCAAAACCATACAAATTATAAAAGATTTGCAACTGAAGAAACAAACGTATATGGACACAAATTCTATGTTTCTAATCAAATATATTGAGATTAATAAGTATGTGTTTATGTATATACTATAGGTATAAGATATAAGATGACTACAATATATACTTTAAACAATAAAATTTGAGAAACATACCTCAAATTTAGTTTTTTTTTACAAAACGTTTTTGAGATATGGGCTATGATAAAATGGTTATCTTTATAGAAAGGTAGTGTAAAATTATTTTTAAAATAATGAGTATTATTTAGCATTGTCAATTGGAATAATCTATTATAAAACTCATCACAATCTATTTATACCACAGATTAATTCTATTATATGTATATACATATATATATATATATAAGATGAAATATCCATCTTTTTTTCTTCTCTTTTTTTGGGTAGTGAAATAACAGGAAGTGAAAAAATTTTAAGTCACATATTTTTTAAACATCAACCTAGATGCTACTCACTGAACTGATCTTTCTCTCATCTCCTCTCAATTAATCGATTTCGATTTTCATACTTATCTGAAATGATTCGCATATTCTTTTTTATGTTGATTGCGGTCGGCTGTTCTTTTGTTTGAATTGATTCTCATATCAGGTTTTATGTTAAATTCGTGAAATCTGTTTATGTCTGAATTGAGTGTTGGCTCAAACTGGATTTTGGCTTTCTGAATCAGGTTCAAAAAGGTTAAGGTTTTGTGGGGGTTTTGATTCTGTCTTTTTGAATGGAAGCTAATATGACGCCGATGGTGCGGAGAATGGTTGCTTTTGCATTTGCTTCTGCCTCAGGTCTGCTTCAGACTCATCCCCTAGGGAGAGGTACTCTGAACAACTTCTTGCACTGTTCCTCTGTCTTAAGCTGTCGGAGATCGTCTTTTTCCGATGTTAGAGACCGCAATATGTCATACAGAGACAGATTGAGATGTGGGGTTCATGATTGTCATGCCGAGTATGCTGTTGATTTGTTCGATCAGATGGTTCAGTCTCGTCCCGTACCTTCCATCGTCGATTTTACTAAACTATTGAGTGCAATCATGAAGATGAAACGGTATGATGTTGTCATTTTCCTCTGCAAGAAAATGGAATTGCTCGGGGTTTCACATAATATCTACTCTTTGAATGTTCTCATCAACTGTTTCTCCCACTCTCCTCAAGTGTTTTTGGGTTTATCTGTCGTGGGCAAAATCTTGAAACTCGGTTACGAGCCGAATGTAGTCACCTACACTACCCTAGCTCATGGTTTCTGTATCCACGGAAAGATTTCAGCGGCCTTAAGCTTGATTGACCAAATGGTGGAAGAGGGATACAAACCTAATGTCGTAACATTTAGTACTTTGATCAACGGATTTTGCCTTGAAGGTAGAGTCTCTGAAGCATTGAGTTTACTTGATCAGATGCAAAAGATGGACTGTCAGCCCGATGTAGTTACATTTCGCATTGTTATAAACGGGGTCTGTAAGGCAAGAGATTATGCGTTGGCAATGAATCTACTCGAGAAGATGGAGGAAATGCATATTGAGATCGATATCGTAATTTATAATACGATCATCGACTATCTTTGCAAAGCCGGACACGTGGAGGGTGCACTGAACCTTTTCGGAAAGATGGATAGTTGTGGGATTGTACCTGATGTAGTAACTTTTAATTCAATGATAAATGGTTACTGCAAGGCTAATAGAGTCGATAAGGGTATTAATCTCTTTTATGAGATGTCTTGAAGAGGATTGGTTGCTGATGCGATTACTTACAACATCCTCATCCAAGGGTTTTATCGAGTAGGCAACCTTGGTGCTGCCCAAAAGGTTTTCATGCAGATGCAGTATAAGGGTCATCGTCCTGATCTTGTGACTTACAACATTGTGCTTGATGGACTTTGTAAGAATGGAAAAACGGACATGGCACTTTGCCTATATAATAAGTTGGATAAGAGTGGGATTGACCTCCATATACCTCTCCATAGTTGCATGATGCATGGTTTGTGCAGGGTTGGGAGGGTTGACGAAGCGTTGATATTATTTAATAAGCTTCTTGACAGAGGGGTGAAGCCGGATGTGATCATGTATAACATAATGATCTCCGGACTTTGCGGAAAAGATTTACTCTATGAAGCCGAGAAGGTAATTGGGAAGATGAAAGAGACTGGTTGTTTTCCCGACGATGGTACGTATAACGCATTGATCAGGGGTCGTCTTAGAAGTCGCTTTCCATCGATGGTTATCGAGCTGATACGAGAAATGCAGAGCAATGGTTTTTCTATGCATGCATCGACGTCAAATATGATAAGGGATATGGTATATGGAGGTATATTGGATAAGGGGGTTTTGGATCTCCTCTCTTAGTAGATGCAAGTACTAAACGGCTAATGAGAAGAGCCAACATCGCATGGTTGTACTTGTATGTTTGATGAGAAGAGCCAGAAACTTCAAGCTATCCAGGTAAATTATCTCTATGTTTCACTTCCTCTGTTTTCAATGTCATAAATCCTGTATGCCCTTGTTTGTTTGTTTGGGCACAGTTTCAGCAGTGGCAATCCCCCTGGAAAACATGGGTCGACCGACACAGGCCTTGAAACATATTTGACATCTGCAGAGAGAGTGTCTCAAGCCCTGAAACCGAACATGGACTACAAGGTGGTAAGAGAATTCGAGACAGTCTCGCTTCATTTGACATATGCAGTTTCTAATCCACTTTGTTGGAAAATGTGTTACAAACAGAATGAAAATGTCTCTTTCAAACGCAGAAACCAAGAGAATCGAAACAGAGGAATAGTGTTTGGGTTTCAATGTATAGTTCAGAACATCCTCTCGTTTTTTCCCCCATCAAAGACGCAATCAAATCGAGCCTCGTCTCAGAAAGCTTCAGAAACTCATGGCTCTTCGGTCGGACATCACGGCGAACTTCAAAAAACGATACAGGGCTCGAGGGCATGGAGCAGAGGCAGCAGCAAATGATGTATTGAGGTAAGAATAATGTCCCCTGGAAGTTCAGATGCTTTTTTACCCCCCTGTTTTTGGGAAACTGCATAAGATTCTGATGAAAATGCCCATAAAGGCATGGTAAAATCAAAGGTGAGAGAGTCTGTGGTTTGTGTCTCATTTGTTACAAGAAGAAGAAGCAATGCAATCCGTGCGTCGAAAGAGGTCAGAATCTCTGATTTCCCCTACGTCCGAAAGAAACCAATCTCTGATATGCGTTTGTCGGCAACTGGAGATCATTAGCTGTTTGGGTGTTTTGTAATGTGTGTTTTGTAGCTTTCGGAGACGGGAAAAGGGCTAAACATGGGTGGAGGCCCAGAAGCTCCAGGGGGTCGATGGTGGACAATAAAAGGGAAGTTGGAGAAACACCTGGAGATAACTAAGCCTGATGCCGAGGAGGAGCTGCCGAGTGGATTTCCATGGTGGATAAATACTCAACTTCGATTTGCTTAGGTTTTTGTTGGCCCGTGACCTGATCGTCTTTGGATTTGCGATTAAGCATGATTCTCGGCTTTTATGGGTTCAAATAAATGTAGCATTGGGTACACATTTGTTCATACACTTGTCTGGGATTCGGTCCGACACTTGGGCGGTTGACACGTGGCGTTGTAGGGTCTTTTGTTCGTGATCTTGCTGAAATCATCTACATATATGTACCCACCGTTTCATCAAATCCGCCAAGGTTACTGGTCAATAGTTTATTTGATTTTTTTTTCTTAATTTATCTAACATGCATTCATTCACCATCTTAAACTTACACTATATATACATATATATATGTATGTATGTATTTTCGGTCTACGTGGTTTGATGAATATAAATATAGACGTTATCATATGTCGCGATCAACACACGATTTCCTACCAAAAGTCTGACACGAAATTACTCGGAAAACAGATAAAAACAATGATTCAAACAAAGGTGAAGTCAACCAAAAATTATGAATTACACAAAATTAGCGAAAAATACTCACAACGCAGCCGGAGACGGGGAATCGGGGCCGAGACTCGGTCTTCCTGAAGGAGAGAGAGCCGCGAGAGACGAAAGGCAAAGACGACGACGTCTTGGCGGCGGCGGCGGTGGGAGGTGAGGACAGAGCCAGCGACGCCATTGCACAATATATATATATACCGGTATATACGTCCGATAACATGATACATGAATCGAGTGATGATAAGCTCGAAAATAATATTTTACCTTACTCCTCACATTTATCCATCTCATTCATCGGAACAAAGTTTCAATTCTATCACAAGGACTCAACTTTGTAAAATCGAATAGTTTATGATAGATCATGGCGAATTAGATAAACTAAGTTGGTATAAAAAAAAGTCCACGCGATGCGCGTGGATTATTACCTAGTATATATTAAATATATTGATGTATATATATCGATATATTTAATTAAAAAATAGATTGAAAATATATATCACATGATATAATACTAATATTATAAAAGTAAAAAAGAGTGTGAGATGTGATGAAATATAGAAACACGTGTAGGAAATTAATAAATGTTTTTATACAAAATTTGACACCCCCCCCCAGTAGAGGACGATTGGGTGTTCTTCAAGGGAAGGGATGTGATGTGGATCTGCTTCTATTGTAAATCAACAAGCACAAGTTCATCGGCCCAATTTTATTAAGCCCATTTTTTAAAATAACTTTGATTTTTTTTATTATAAAAAAAATAGGGTTCCTGGACCAAACACCGCTTTCGTGAACGGCGGCATCTCTCTCTCTCTCTTCTGTCTGTCTCATGTCCGCTCTCTCTCTCTCACTTGGCGTACTTTCTTCTTGATCTGAGTTTCGACATTCATCTCGGATTCGACAATCTCAATCGTAAGTCTATCAATCGTAAGGCAACGCAAGAACAAGGTGCGTTCCGATTCTGCCCATCTTTTTCTTGCTCGAGATCGGACGGTGGTCGGAAACCGGCCACTAGAGCCGGAAGCCCAGATGCCGCCGCTCTATTATATGCCTGAAGTTTGTTTGTTTTTTTTTTTGGTTTAATGTGATTATATTATCGGAACTTATCAATTAAGAAAACTTGAATTTTTTTTGGCAAATAAAACCCCACCTTAATCTTAACCAAAAAAAATAAGAACAAAAAATAAAAATAAAAATTTAAAAACAAAAAACATGGTTACTCAGTATGGTTTAATACAATATTATTATAGGCACAATATTAGTACTTCATGTCATTATTTGGGTTAAAAATTATAACATTGGTAGGAGCATTAGTTTCTGAAAGTATTTATTAAATATATATATATACATACATATATTAATTCACTAATATTTAAATAAAATTTATTATTTTATAAAAATTAAAAATGTTGAGTTTTAATTTATCTTAAATTAAATAACAATTGTTAATATCAAAATTTTGAGACTCCTAGAGGGGACGATTGGGTGTTCTTGAGGGCTTCTATTTCTTTTTTAACAACCGGCCCATTACAAAAGAAGTGTTCGGCCCATTACAAAACATTGTAACGATTAATCTTATTAAGCCCAATTTTAAAATATTTTATTGATTAAAAACCAAAATAGGGTTTCTGAAAAACCGCTTTCGTGCCTCTGTGTACTTCTTCTCAGCCGCTTAGATAGTTAGATTTTATGACGTCATATTTATTTGTTTTTTAAAAAATCTGCTACTCAATCTCTCTCACTTCTTCTTCATCTGAGTTTCGATACTCTTCTGTCAGAATCTCAGTTTCGACAATCTCAGGTGAAGCTCTCAACGATTTAGCTTTCTTTGACGGATCCCTAATCTCAATTTTAAAATAATTTATTGATTAAAATCAAGTTCTAAACATACAAAATAGGGTTTCTGAAAATAGGATCCTTGTCGTAATCTGACGATTTTCTCATCATCCAGGTAGACGAGAGCCGACGGAGACAGCAACTCATCCAATCGTAAGAACAAGGTGCGTTCCCATTCTGATAAACCAATTATTATTATTATTATTATTTGTTATCTTTAAAATTTGTTTTTTTTGGGGTAAGATGATACAATTTGTGATGTGAATCTGGTTATTATTATTATTATTATTATTTAATTTATAGTTTATATCTTTCAAATTTTAATGTGCATGTTAACGCTTATGGGTGGTGTTTTCAAAAGCTTATATTAACAAAACTTTTTTGAAATATGAGGTATGATAAAAAAAAATGGTTATCTTTATAGATATGCATAGTGTAAAATTATTTTTTAAAATAATGGTTTTTTAAAAAAAAAAAATTAACTCACTAAAACTCTTAGACTACATGTTTTATTTAAAACAGAATATTTAAAATGTTGGATGAAATTGGGTTAAAAATAAAAATTTAGACACGGTTTCGATATTAAAAATAAGCTCTAAGGTACAATGGGAACTCCCACCCTGTAAAGTTGGGACCATCTGAAGAAGTGGACGAGACGTTATATACAGTATATGTACACACATATATATTTATATATATATATATATTTATTTTCTCTTCTTTTTTCGGGTATTGAAATAATTTGCCTGAAACAATAATTGGATAACAAAATACTTGGTTATTCAAAAAAAAATTCATCACAATCCATTTATATCTCGCACATATAAGGAAGTGGTGGAGCGTGAGAGGCACGTGCATGGTGCAGAGAATAATAATGGGAAGAGGCTTGTTTGGTTGGGTATAAAGCTCCACCCCTTCCCTATATGGGATCCACTTGTTCCCTCTTCCAAACACGCCTTCTTTATTTGATTTATAGTTAAATGCCGAGAAAAATATATATACTAATTCATTGGGGGAGAAAACTCGAGGGTCTTTTCGTAATTTAGCACTCATCTCTCTCTCTCTATGTGGATATGATCATAGATCGTCACTCGGCCTACTTTCTTTTTAATCTCAGAGGCCCAAACACGCAACCAACGGAGACAGGAAATCAATCATCTTAAGAACAAGGTGCGTACTAAATGATTTTATATTCATTTATAATTCATATATATATATATATATGCCTGAAGTTTGTTAAATTCCCATCTCATAATATATACACACGGACATTTCTTATTTTAAAAAAACAAAACCATAAACGTACATTGGGTTCTCTTAAAAGACATATATTGGGCCGTGGCAGCATTTTATTGGGCCTATAAGTTTTAGATTTGATTCTTGTTTTATGTTGTTTTCTTCTCTTTGGATTTTGAAAAATCGAATTGAAGATATAAATTTGAACACGAGATCAAGATTGTATATGTAAGAACATGAAATCTAGTTATTATATAGTAAACATTTCTTCTGTATGTATTTATTATGTTTGCAAAAAAAATATAAAATTTTTAAAATATATTTATAAAACTAATAAATTAAAAAACTTATAGGCCCAATAAAATGCTGCCACGGCCCAATATATGTCTTTTAAGAGAACCCAATGTACGTTTATGGTTTTGTTTTTTTAAAATAAGAAATGTGTGTGTATATATTATGAGATGGGAATTTAACAAACTTCAGGCATATATATATATATATATTGAATTATAAATGAATAAAATCATTTAGTACGCACCTTGTTCTTAAGATGATTGATTTCAACTTAATCAAGATATAGTATATGCTCGATTGAGTGGGAGCTCCGAGATTGGGATTACATAATCGAATGGATGACCTATTCGGATTATGAACAATCGTTGCACAGAAACCGATTAGATCTAGAAGCTCTATCTAATCGAATAAGATAAATAATAATCTAACATACATGTGGACACTAATAACATATAATAATCTAATATATTATTAAGGTGAACTACCCAATTATTACAAGCCAACAATGTGACTTAACTTTCAACTATAACATTTTTTTTACGACACTTATTTTTGGAACTTGAACATGTATATCTTTAAAACAAATTTATGCGACCCTCTCATAACTTTGAGAGGTTCGGTTAAAAAAACATCAAATACTTTCAAATTTAATAAATGTATAACAGATCTATCATAATTTAATCACATTTTATTTTTTTTGTTTTTATTTTTAATTATTAACTGATTTTTTATTCAAAGTCTCTCTCTCTCATCTCCTCTCAATTATTCGATTTCGATTTTCGTACTTGTCTGAAGTGATTCTCATATCAGTTTTTATGTTGATTGCGGTCGGCCCTTCTCTTGTCTGAATTAATTCTCATATCAGTTTTTACGCTAAATTCGTGTAATCTGTTTATGTTAGAATTGAGTGTTGACTTGGGTTTTGGCTTTCTGAATCAGGTTCGAAAAGGATAAGGTTTTGTGGGGGTTTCTGATTCTGTCTCTTTGAATGGAAGCTAAGATGACGGCAGTGGTCCGAAGAATGGCTGCTTTTGCATTTGCTTCTGCCTCAGGTCTACTTCAGACTCATCCCCTAAGAAGAGGTACTCTGAACAACTTCTTGCACTGTTCCTCTGTCTTAAGCTGTCGGAGATCGTCTTTTTCCGATGTTAGAGACCGCAATATGTCATACAGAGATAGATTGAGATGTGGCGTTCATGACTGTCATGCCGAGTATGCTGTTGATTTGTTCGATCAGATGGTTCAGTCTCGTCCCGTACCTTCCATCGTCGATTTTACTAAACTATTGAGTGCAATCATGAAGATGAAACGGTATGATGTTGTCATTTCCCTCTGCAAGAAAATGGAATTGCTTGGGGTTTCACATGATATCTACTCTTTGAATGTTCTCATCAACTGTTTCTCCCACTCTCCTCAAGTGTTTTTGGGTTTATCTGTCGTGGGCAAAATCTTGAAACTCGGTTACAAGCCTAATGTAGTCACCTACAATATCTTAGCTCATGGTTTCTGTATCCACGGCAAGATTTCAGCGGCCTTAAGCTTGGTTGACCAAATGGTGGAAGAGGGATACAAACCTAATGTCGTAACATTTAGTACTTTGATCAACGGATTTTGCATTGAGGGTAGAGTTTCTGAAGCATTGAGTTTACTTGATCAGATGCTAAAGATGGACTGTGAGCCCAATGTAGTTACATTTGCCATTGTTATAAACGGGGCCTGTAAGGCAAGAGATTATGCGTTGGCCATGAATCTACTCGAGAAGATGGAGGAAATGCATATTGAGATCGATATTGTAATTTATAATACGATCATCGACTATCTTTGCAAAGCCGGACACGTGGAGGGTGCACTGAACCTTTTCGGAAAGATGGATAGTTGTGGGATTGTACCTGATGTAGTAACTTTTAGTTCTATGATAAATGGTTACTGCAAGGCTAATAGGGTCGATCAGGGTCTTAATCTCTTTTATGAGATGTCTCGAAGAGGATTGGTTGCTGATGCGATTACATACAACATCCTCATCCAAGGGTTTTACAGAGTAGGCAACCTTGGTGCTGCCCAAAAGTTTTTTATGGAGATGCAGTATAAGGGTCATCGTCCTGATCTTGTGACTTACATCATTTTGCTTGATGGACTCTGTAAGAATGGAAAAACGGACAAGGCACTTTGCCTTTATAATAAGTTGGGTAAGAGTGTGATTGACCTCGATATACCTCTCCATAGTTGCATGATGCATGGTTTGTGCA